AAACCCTTGAGAGTTTCAGCTGTTGCTTTCTTTCCTACCTGCTGGCTTGAGTGACACTTGGTATATTATCCTGGAATTGGTGTTGCTTACTTAGATACTTTGGAATAGAATTTGAGCTGTCAAGAGTAGAGAGCATAGCTTGCCCTGTTACTGGATGCCAGTCCCATAGGTTTCTTTCTGTTAAAGATGTGCAGAAATAATTTGATGTACCTTTATACTATTTTTTTTTTGAGGCATTCGAAGTTATGTGGCTTTCTCCAGGGTCACACAGCTAGTTAGTGTGAAGCCGTATTTGAACTCAGGTCCTCCTGACTCCAAGGCTGATGCTCTATCTACTGTACCACCTAGCTGCTTTCCTTTATACTCTTGCTAAGAGTCCCCAGCTTGTAATTTCAAGGAATAAGAGGCAGAATATTTTTGTCCAGAGTATTCTTCAAGGATAGCTCATACCTCCAAAACCAAAGCTCATTATTTTATGAGGCACTTTTTAGAGTACTTTAAGAACTGCTATAGATATCTAGGTTGTGCAGTAGGTAGAATGTAGGATCTGGAGTCAAGAAGACCTGAATTCAAACGTGGTCTCAGGCGCTTAATAGCTGTGTGACCCATAACCTTGTTTGCTCATCTGTAAAATGAGCTGTCGAAGAAAATGGCAAACCACTCTAGTATCTTTGCCAAGAAAACCCAAATGACATCAGGAAAAGTTGGACACGACTGAAAAAGATGATGAAACAACATAAATATTCTAAACATGTTTTAAGGTAGTATCTATACTTGTATTTGAAAAATTACACCCTGGCTTAAAGGGACTGTTAATTTTTTTTAATGGGTAGATCCACAATATACTCCTAGTAAATGCTTGTTGAATTGAATATTTACCTCAGGAATTTTACATTCCACTATTTTTTCTATGTCTTTATAAAAGTGCTGTGTGGCATGACTGATTTTAAAAATTAAAGTGAATTAACACATTTTTGGGCAATTTCTTGATACCTCCTGAGATAATTGGAGACAACAAAAGTAGGATGGAAATCTTTGAATTAGAGACAATTAATTTTATTCTCTTCTCTCTGTGGAAGTTTTAAACAAATTCATTTGGACAAAGTTGAGGACCTACTTTGTGCAGAGCATAGTGTGTCCCAATTATTGGAGGAGATGGTTTACATGGCACATTACATGGCTTTCAAAAATAACTGTATTATAAAAGACTAAATGAGTCATTGGAGAAGCATAACAAAGGGCTGTGTCAAGTCTGAGAGGGAAGAGGTTGTCCTGGGGACTTAGGGAAGGCTACATGAAAGAAAGAAGTGACATTTGAAGTGGGTTGCTAAAGGAGGGGCAAAAGTTGAGAGAAAGTAAAAGTAGGAGAACATTGCAAGTATAGAAAGCAGCCTGCACAAAGACATGGCCACACTTGAGAACCTAGAGGGCCACATGTGGCCTTGAGGCCACAGGTTCTTAACCCCTGAACTGAGTAGAAGGTGGGAAAGTAATGTGAGACTGGGCCAAAAAGGTAGAGTAAGGCCACACCCAGTGGGCTTTGAATTTTAAATTGGGGAGCAATACTTTCAAGGAGGATTGAAGAAATAAAAGTGTGACTTAGGCTTGTCACTAAACTTCAGATATAAGGAGGTCATGTGTTTTTGGCTAGTATTTGAAGTATGGATTTAGGCATTTTTTCTCAAGCTATGATACAGAGATGGTGATTTGGATCATTGAGTTTTAATGATAATTTAGGAGTAACAATTGATTGTCTTTTTACTTTTAACTATTAGGACAGATCTAAAAGACACTTGCTATTTACCAGAAATCCAGCTTTTGAAAGAGGAAACTCATGGTTGTCAGGACAAAATGGAAGTAAGAGTGTATTTGGAAAAGTGCAAAAATATGAAAATTAATTTCAGTTGCAAATAAACCCACTTGTAAGAGATCTGTCCATTGATGCAGGAAAGACCAAGTGGATGAAGACTGTTGCCCAAATTTCAACATGCATTTGAGTGGAAACTCTGTAGGGCTTGTCCAAACAGTATGTATATCTGAAACAGACAGCATAGGAAGAGCAAGCAAGTTGGGCCTAGAGTTGAGCAGGAGGGGGAGGAAGAAGACTGGATTGCTTCTGGGATATTAAAAAGTTACCATAATGACCTAAAGCTACCCATGAAAGCAATTTCATTACTAATGTTTTACCAGTGAGATTGCAGCAAGACATGGAAAACCAAACCACTACCTCTATGGAACTAAAATTGAGTGTCAGAGGACATTGGAGAGATACATGCTGGGTATATGAAAGTTGTAGCATATAAGCAGTGAGGTACTCTGAAAGGCAGAAGTGAAGAATGTTTTCAAGGAATTATATGATAGAAGCAGCTGATGCATAGTGTAGAGTGGTGGGCTAAGACTCAGGAAAACCTGAGTGCAAAGTTGGCCTCAGACTTTGATTAGCCATATGACTTAACCTCACTTTGCCTCAGTTTCCTCAAACACAAAATGGGGATAACAATAGTATTTACCTCCCAGGACTGTTGTGAGGATTAAATGAGATAATTGTAAGGTGCTTAGCACAGTAGGAGGCACAGAGTAGGTGCTAGATAAATATTAGCTATTAGAGGAAGATAAAGATGGCCTTGTTACATATTGAGAGAAGGGGATGTTTAGTGGACAGTAAGAGTGATCTACTAGTATCTTTGCATTGTTGGGAGGAAGGCCTTCAGGATTTTGGGTGAATGGAAGCTGCATAGGATGGGCAGGCATAAATGGGTTGCCATCTGTATCAGTGGAGGGAACTCGTGAGTCAATGAGATCAGGTCCATTTGAACATTTTAAATATAATTGTAAACACACAAATAAGTATTAGGAGTAATTTTTTCATGATCAGGACTATGAGAGGCAGAGAAATGTAGCAGATAGAAAATTGGCCCTGGAGTCAGGAAGACCCAAAGTCAAACCCTCTCTACACATTAGTTATGATCTTGGGCAAAGTTGCAGAATGGCAGTTTCCATTGGTAGTTTCTTCCTCTGAATTACCGATGCTGTTGAAACCCATGAGAAAAGTACCCTCCTGTCCTCATTGGTGACTTCTTCTTTGGGGCTTGTTCAGGAGGGCCCTGGCCATACTTCACCTCACTAATGCCTGAACTCTCTTGAATCTGTCCATGTTGCTATTCTGCTACCCCAAGAGGCCCTTACTCATCCCTCTTTCTTGTTACTGTTTGGGCATTGTCTTCCCTCATTAGAATGTAAGCTTCTTAAAGGTAGGGACTCATATCACCGAGGTTTAGTCTCTGCAAGCATGTATGTGTGCACAAGCCCCTGATAAGATGTGTGTATACACACAGGATATTGAAATGTATAGACAGGAAGATATCTCTAATTTTGCCCATCCCTCTCTAAGGGAGACTAAAATTTCTGCCGTAAGGGAGTAGGAGAAGGGGCCCTGAGGTTAGCTGCCCTGTTCTCCTCTGAGAGTGGGGTATTGAACTAGAATTGTATCTGTCTCACGAGTTTAGGGTCATGATTTTTAAGTTCAAAACAAAAGTAGGTTCTATTATCATTATCTTTTAAAGGGGTGGGGAACCTTCGGCCACGAGTCCTCAAGTGCAGCCCTTTGACTGAATCCAAATTTCACAGAACAAATCCTTTAATAAAAGGATTTGTTCAGTAAACTTGGGACTCAAAAAAACGCACCCCAGGACCTAGAAGGCCACCTGTGGCCTTCACACCACAGGTTCTCCACCCCTGCAGCCAGTTTGACTCCTTCCCACCAAATGCTAGTTACACACAGTGAATAGTGAGTAAACCCATTTATTGAAGCAAAATAATGAAACATGGAAGTTAAACAGATTACAGTATGTCAGGAAATGGAGTAAATAAGCTCTTCCCTTAGAGGCATGCTATCTCAGCCCAAACCAAATGAGAAGGCTCAGTCTGACCCAAGGGGAAATTCCTAGGAATCTCCAGGGAGTCAAATTGGAAATAGGGGCATGTTGGAGTTTTCCTTATGTGTCTGATGCTTCCAAAGCCTTTCTCCATATGTCTAGGGTCGGTCCCCAAGAGAATATCTTCTCAGGGACAATGTAAAGAATTTTCTTCCCAAAGCCTTTAAACCATCTTTGCTTCTCATTTTCTTTACCAGTTAGGAGAGTCTTTTACAAAGTGCTTCAGATTTGTCTCTTGATCTGTCTCTCCAGGAGGATAGATTAATGAATGAAAAGCATGAAGTGTTTACTATGTGCCAGAAACTGGGTTTACAGTTTTTTTTTTTTTTACAAAGACACAATCCCTGCCCTCTAGGAGCTTACATTCTAACGGAAGAGACACCATATTTAGGGGAGTGGACAGGGATGGGAGTTATAGTCTGGAAAGTTGCAAAGATAGTGAGTGGTACAATAAGGCAATTAATGAGCCATTTCCAGAAGCAATGGTAGTTAGTTGATCATAATTCTCAGCATCAAGTAATGAGTATATTTTAGAAAAGTGGGGAGGTGGGTGCATACTGCTGCAATGGGGTGGATGAGGTGAAGAAGAGGCTGCGTGATCATGGGCAGTGCTGAACTTGAGTGGCTTAGCTCCTTTGAGAGAGAGGGGACAATCTGGTTTGGAGAGGGGACAAATGGCTAGGATGAAAAGGCTACATAGTCCCACGGAATGCCAAGTTGTGTAACCATGAAATGGTCTTCTAAAAATATTACTGCATTTTAATGACTGAGAATCCCTGGGTTGTGTATTTTAACAAATGTTCTTCATCTTTGAAATATTGTGAGATTTGCTTTTGATGTATTTCATATTCAGTATTTCATTGTTGGAGTCATAGAAGATATGCCTTATTCATATTCTGAAATGCATATTTTCCCCCTAAAGACTGGGCAAACTAACATAATGTTTTAAAGTTTAACTACAAAATATTGCATCTTGTTAGGAGGCCTAAAACTGATTTACTCATTCTGGAACAGAAATGTTAAATCTTAAGAAGACAGTGAAAACTATTTTCAGTAATTTTATTGTTTTTTTTTTAATTTTGGATAGATTTACATTATTTGGGAGACTGGCAGAGGTGATTTTACAGGAAGTAAATAATAGAAAATATCTTAGTTCTTTTCTTAGCTGGTAAGAGCCTTGGCTACCTTGTAGATGGCTTCCAAGTCCATGTTTAGTTTGACATCTAAGATTAGCTTCAGTCAGTAATGTGCTGGTAAATATTTAACAGCCAGCTCTCTGAAAAAAAAAAAAAGGTACCCACAACATGTTAAAGTTTAATCATGATTAACATTTTCTGTTTCATTTTCTTACATCTAAACAATCAGTAAAACAATAACTCAGCCTGTGATTTGTAGCACTCTAAATGCATATGCTGAAGATTTAACAGTTGGTTCTTGCAAGCCTATATGAACTGACCCCAGCACACCCCTGGCTCTACTACTCCTTCCTGCAGAAATTCTAAGATTTAAAATTTTGAGAACTGGTCCTACGGGAACTGGAGACCAAATTGCCAACATTCGCTGGATTACAGAGAAAGTAAAGGGAGTTCTAAAAGAATTTTACTACTTCATTGACTACACTAAAGCTTTTGACTGTGTGGGTGACAACAAAATGGGGTAAGTCCTCAAAGAGATGGGAGTGCCAGATCATCTTACTTGTCTCCTGAGGAACTCTGTATGCAAGTCAAGAAGCAATAGTTAGAACCAAACATGGAACAACTGATTGGTTTAAGATTGGAAAAGGAGTATGACAGGGCTGTATATTGTAACCTTATTTATGTAACTTATATGCAGAGTACATCATGCAGAATGCCAGGCTGACCAAATCAAAAGCCAGAATCAAGGTTGCTGGGAGAAATATCCAACAATCTCAGATATACAGACAATACCACTCTGATTGCAGAAAATGAAGAAGAATTAAGCCTCTTGATGAGGGTGAAAGAGGAGAGTGTAAAAGGTGGCTGAAGCTGAACATAAAAAAAGCAAACCAAAACACAACCACCACCCTAAGATCTCGGTAACTGCTCTCGTCCCCTCCTGGCAAAGAGAAGGAGAAGAAATGAAAGCAGTGTCAGATTTTATATTCTTGGGCTCAAAGATCACTGTGGACAGCTACTGCAGCCATGAAATTAAAAGATGTTTGCTAGAATGATTTCAGAAAAACCTGGAAAGTCTTACATGAACTGGTGCAAAGTGAAGTGAGCAGAACAGAACACTGTCCATAGTAATAGCATGTTGTATGATGACCAACCGTAAATGACTTACCTATTGTCAGCCATACAATGATCCAAGACAATCTCAAAGGATTCGTGATGAAAAATACTATCCTCCTCCAGAGAAAGAACTGATGTCATCTAAATACAGAAGGAAGCATACTATTCTTAGTTTTCTTTTTTTAAAATTTGTTTTCTTGCACAAAATGACTTATAGGGAAGTGTTTTACATGATTGCAAATGTATAACCTATATCAGATTGCTTACTGTCTTAGGGAAGGGGGAACAGAAGAAAGAATGGGATAGAATTTGAAACTCAAAACTTAAAAAAAACCAATGAATATTAAAAAATGTTTTTACGTGTAGTAGGGGAAAACCAAAATTTTTTTAAAAAATGCTCCTTGGAAGGAAAGTATGGCAAATCTGGACAGCATACTAGAAAGCAGAGACATCACCTTGCCAACAAAGGTCTCTGTCATCAAAATTATGGTTTTTTCAATAGCAATGTATGACTGTGAGAATTGGAGTATAATGAAAGCAGAGTGCTGCAGAATTAACACTTTAAAATTGTGGTGGTGGAGAAGACATTTGAGAGTCCCTTGGACAGCAAGGAGATCAATCAGTACTTAAATTAATTCAGACTATTCACTGGAAGGTCAGATACTGAAGCTGAAGCTTAAATACTTTGGTCACATGATGAGAAGATGGGACTCATTGGAAAAGACCCTGATGTTAGGAAAGATTGAAGGCAAAAGGAAAAGGAGATGGCAGAGGGTGAGTTGGATAGATAGTATCATGGAAACAATGAACATGAACTTGGTCAGACTTTACGAGATAGTAGAGGATAGAAGGTCCTGATGTGCGAGAGTTAGGCATGACTGAACAACAACAGAAACCTAGGTGAGGAATTTTCCTTAGCATTTGGATCTGATGTTCAGTTTTTCTTATTTATCTAAGCACATTCACTATTCTGTTAGAACACAGTTTTGTCCGTTAGAATTAAAAATGGAAGGTCCTCGGAGACTTCTTCTATTCTTCATTACCCTCGGAGACTCTAGTTCAACCCCCTCTAACATTCATTAACAGGCATCTTTTTGAACACCTCACTATTTCAGTACATTTTGGGAAAACTGAACCTTAGTAAACTAGTTTTCCCATTCCCTGCCCTCTCCTGCCCTCTTCTTCTTCCCCCAAATATGGCTATATTTGTGTAGTATATGAAAGGAAGACTCTTTCTGAACTCTGTATAACCATCCTTGGATATATTTTTTTCCTTTTCTGTCCAAATTTTAAGACAGTTTTCCTTGACAGAGACAGTATTGTCTATGAATTTTCCTTTGAAATGGCTGGTTTCTTTCTTTGACAAGTATATTGACTATGCGAAGTCACTGAGGAGAGAAAAAAAGATAATGGTTTAAGTAATACGCTGACTCCCAACTTTAGCACATGGGTATTCAAGTGGTTCACTTTGCAAACCATTTTTCTGATGTGTGCACTTGAACCGCTTGAACTGTGACCCACCATACTACAGAGACTTGTATGTCTTATTATTCAACCTCTCCTTTTTACTTTGCCAAAATTATAATGATTTTGAGAGTAAAGATTTAACCAGCAAATTCTTCATTATGCCACAGGCTATTATTGATCATTCTCCACTACCCTTTGGGAAGTGGGGCTTCAAAAAGACAAGAATGATACTCATTTTAAGGTCTTTTATTTATTCATTCATTTTTTCATTTATTCATTTATTTATTTATTTATTTTTGAGATTGAGTCTGTCTAGCTTGCCCAGGCTGGAAGTGCAGTGGCCACTCAAGGCCTTATGCCATTCTGATCTCCAGGGAAATTTTAACCTGCTCTGTTTTTGACTTGAGCCAGTTCCTACTTCCCTAGGCAGCCTCTTCCCCGCCCTGCAGGGGGCTCACTGTATTGATGTTGGACTGAGTGTGGAAACCCCTGTGTGCCTTTAGCCCTCAGCTAAAGCTTTAGCTCAAGCGGTCCATTAGGTTCAGCCTTCCTAGTAGGAAGGGTTGCAGGTGTGTGTCACCACACCTACCTAAAGGTTTTAATATATGAGCTGGTATGTGTCTCCGGTGATTCCAAAGAGGGATCAGCCTCAAGTTTTAAAAGCAGAGCGTTTGAGTAAGAATCGCAGGCTCAGAGACAAGGAGAGTTTTAAAAGATGAACTTGAAAACTTAAATGACTTTTTTTTATTTTTTGTGCAACAGTCTCATTTTAGAAATGTTGAACTTGCTGGATTTTTTTTTCTCCTCAGTTACTGCTGTTGGTACACACATGCTGCCTGTGTTACACAGACAGCCAACTGATCACTTTCCACATAATAACCTTATCCAAACAATTCTATTTGCTTTTCTGGTGAGAGTATGGGGGAGGGGAGCACAGGAGGGAGTGATGAGGAGTGACGGCTGTGGCTAGATCTGCAGTTTGTGTCTGCTTGTAATATAAATGGGTGAGCTTGCAATATGGGAAGGATTGTTTATAGTAATGAATAATTAAAATTTTTTACCTTTTGAATGTAAATATTTTACAAGCAAAATATAACCTAAAATTTGTAATATTCAAATATCCAATGGATGAAGCATTGTACAATCTTGAGAAGATGGGCGGGTTTGTAGGGTATTTTTGTTTTAGCAAAGCTGCTTAATTACAATGATGATTAAAAGGAAATCCTTTCTTTTAACAACAGACTTTCTTATTTGTGTCATGCTCAGAATGGTTTCTTTTAATGGTCTCTGTGTACCTCTGTTTGTCTTTACCACAGATATCCTGTTCCTAGGCCCTTTTGGACATTTCATTTTAACCTCTCAGAACAGAATACTTCACTGTAGTGCCTTAAATACACAGCCAGTAAATGCTATTAGGATGAATTATGTTGAAATTCTAGGAAGAGAAGGTTCTAGATGGAAATAACTTTTTATCATCAACTAAATTAAGTTTTCTCTTCTAGGCTCTGTGCTTTGTGAGGGGAAGGCAGGTAAAAGGAGGGCCTTGCCCTCCAGAATTGTTGTCTGAGCCTACAATAGTGCCCCTCACTTGTCCCTGAATCTCCAACTGTAATCTGACCTGGGATGATTAAGGCCTGACTGTGAATAGGAATAGAAGGCATAGACTGAGGGAATCCTGCTTCTGTTCTTCATTACCCTTATCTGGGAAGTAGGTAGTGAAGTATAAAGATACCATTGTATTTGGAGTCAGAAAGACCTGAGTTCAAATCCTGGGGCAGAATGGGACAAAATCCACCCCATACCACCTTGGTCTCTGGGGAGGGGTGAGGGATTAGTTTTGGTTTAGCTCAATTCCTGTATAATGTTAGTCTTACTAAGTTCCAAGTCCAAAAGCCCTTGGGCTTGGGTCCCAGAACTTTGGCTTCTCAGGGCTTCCCTATGGAAAACAAGGGAATGACCAAAATGCCAGTCTCATTTTTCAGGGCCTACGGGGAGGGCAGGGTGGCCCTTTCCCTACCCACCTTACCTCTTGGTACCATGCTGTAGGTGAAGGATGCTTTCATCTCAGGATGCCTTTGGAAAGAGGGAGAGGGAGAGACCTCTCCCACCCACGTAGAAGGTAAAAGAAGGATGTTTTCTCTCAGAAGCAGGTCCTTGTTAGGTGATCAGGGAATGAACCAAACCCTGGTACACTGACATTCCAGAAACCACTAAGAACTACACCAAGTTGATTTTGTCGGGAGGCTTTGGTGTGATGCCCTGGGGAGAGACACTTGAGAGGACAATGCTTAAACTTTCCCAGATCCCTAGAGAATTTTTCAGAATTGAGGGTGGACAAATATACCAAAAACATCCCTCTCAACTTACTAGGGACAGCAGCTATTTAACTGGGGAAGAGTAAAACAGGAGTGACGAGGCTGAGCATTTGCCCGAAGTTGCCAAGACAGGACTCCAGGTTTCTACAGCAGTTGGGGCATACTGATGGGGGAATCAGAGTGGAGCCCCTTCTGGAACTGAGTGATAACGGTCACAAGCTAAGGATCACAGCTGGACCAAAGATAGGGAGCTCAGGGGAGTTGTCAGTCAACAACATTTATAAACACTTACTATGTGCCAGGCACTACGTGTAGTAGCTGACCATATATTAGCAAGAGCTAATGAAGTCAAGATATCAGAAGGCAGAAGGTGTGGCAATCTGGGTCTTGTTCCCAGTTTCTTCTCTACCCCAATCTCCCCTGGAGTGGGGAACCTGCAGCCAATCATTCACTTTCCATTTTTCCTTTCCAATCCAGTGAGGAGAAGGGGTTGTGGGAGAGAGAAAAACTTTTTTTGTCCCTTTTCTGATGCCGGTAAAGTAGCCTACTTTTGGAAGCTTGATTTCATCATTTACTTTTGTTTTGATGATGTTTAAACTTATTGAAGAAACTCAGTGGCCATCTGCCTTATGAATATGTGGAACGGAGTTGAGAGAGAAAGCTAGAACTCAATAAGCAAAGGAGATTTAAAAAAACTTTTCCCTGGTGAATTTTAGGTGAGAGTATGTTAATTAGAGAGCTTATGGAATTTAGTAGGGATGGATTAAAGAGGGCCCTTATCCTAGACTTACTTCTTTTGAACTCAGGGTGAGAAAAAGACAAACTGAATAGCCCGGGGGCTGTGGTTGGTAGCAGCTGCTTTTGCATGAGAGCACTGAGGTGGCAAGGTTGGTTACTGCTTTAGCCTGAGGTCACTGGCAGCCTGGCCGGGGTGAAGAAGGATCTTTGATATGGGAAAACTTTAGCTACACAAATAATTTGACATCCGAGGAGGGAAAGGAACCTGAGTGTTTCAAAAACTCATTTGTTTCTCTCAGTTCCGTGCAGGCACTGAGATAGGACTGCAACTGGTTGGGCAGTTGTCCTTATTTGGTGGCGGGTGACTCCTAGACCCCTCTCAAATGCAGCCCCCCCAGTAGGATAGCCACATCTACATCTATCTATACATCTGTCTATATTTATATATCAAATGTAATTCTACGTGTAAAGCGCTTAGCCCAGTGCCTGGCCCATAGTAAACACTTTATGTAATGTTAATGATAAGGATGACCATTGTTATTACCATATCTCTGTCATCAGTTTCTATATCATCTAGACTGAATATGCATGTGAATGTGTGCATATATATACATATGTATCTGTGTGCATGGATATCTGCATGGATATAGTGTGAGTACATTACGTATCATATGACTGCTT